GGAAAGGAAATGAAGGGAGAACAAGCCAGGACAAAATAGTGCAGGACCATGGGTGAGGAGTTTCAGTATGACAGGAAAGGAGACTAACAAAGACTGAAGAAAAGGAAAGACATTTCAGATCAACCCTCTCTCCTTACTCAGTGTTCCCTGTCTTTTATTACATCATATAACCTCTTTAAGCAAAGGCCATAACTTGTAATGTCTCATCTGTAAAGCTTTGTATGTGCTTGTACTGCCACATAAGCAGTGCCTCACCCAGAACTTGGCACTAGTTCCAGAATTGCATGCAAGTTTCAACATTGGCTGTGAGCTCTCTTCTAAGTGGACTCTTTGCACACCAGATGCATTTGCACCTGGATGAATGCATTTTGTGAGATGCACTTCTGTCCCAGAGAATGGAGAGCGTGATTGTACAGGGCTTTTTATCATTTGTCTGAGTCTATGAAATAGCATGCACACGTCCAGCTGGGTATAGGATGTTATATAGTGAGGCACATGAACTTGCTGGAGGATCTTGTGTGACTTTGTGGATCCAAAGAAGTGGGAAATTGAGTTTTCCTCTGCCAAATTCCAATATGGTATCAGTTATGCCCTGAAGTTTGCTCTTTGTTGTTAGCAAACTGTTTCTACTATACAACTTGCCAAATCCACAGAGGAGACAAAGTGAGGCCTATCTGTAGAGCTTCCACAAAGCCCCTGCCATCTCTTAAAGTTGTGGAACAACAGAACTGATTAGAATAAACCCCACAGTGCTGCTTCTAACACAGGCTGCTCTCAATGGTTGCAATCCAAGTAGACTCCTTCTGCAAAATTGCAAATTGATTTTTTTTTTTTTTTTTTTTTACCTGATTTATTCAAATATACTTCCTACTTAAATAAGCACAAGTGCTCTGCATTATAGTTCACAATAATTAATCTTCAATACTTACAAAATGAGAAGAGCTCCTCTCTGGATAGGGAGGCCAGGAAGCATTTAAGAGAAGGAGGTAGGAAGAGATGTTTCTTAAACAGTGACTTGTTTCAGACAAACATTACTTTTAGGCAGCACCATCATTTTGAAATGGACATTCAAGGGGGGTGGGTGCTTTTCTAACCATGGAAAGAGCTCCTGCCACCCTTCTGCTCACATAAGCAGTGTGACAACTTTCCATATTCTGCCTCAGGGTGAAAACCCTCAGTCCTATTGATTGATTGAATTCAGCAAGTTGAAGAGTGTGGTTGACATTTGCACTGTGCAGATGAGTCATTCCAATTCAGGTAATTTTTGTCTCTCCCTCCTAAATGGCTCCATTAATGAGAAGAATGTTCATTCCTGTACACTGAACAAAAACAAATCAAGCTGTTAATGGCACATTGTGTGTTTCCTGACCTGGAGTGACCTCTTAGATTTCAAGAAAAGGGAGCAACATGCCTCCCGGTCATGGTGAACTCTTACTCTAATTGCTTCCAGTGAATTGCATGTACCTCTTTGCTTTAACCTGGAACTTTAACTTTTCTTGTCTTTTAATTTCAGTGAATTTAAAGACTTTTTCCCCCAACAAATTTTACCTTCTCAAACTGCCTAGGCACTCTTCTTTCTGTAGGCTAACAGAAAAAGAGCAATATAGAGTGGCATAAGACTTTCCAATACCTTGCAGAGGGATCTAGATAGCTCTTTACTAGCTGAGCCATCCACCATGCTTCACTCCAGGACTTGCACTATTGGGCGAAGTCCATAGGGTGAGGAAGGAAGTGGTAAATCTCCCCTAGGCAGCATTTTTTCAAGCTGTAAATGTAGCATAGGCAGATTTCCAGTAACCTTGGATGCCATCAATTTGCTTGTCATTTTGATAATGGCACAGACAATTGTAGATTATAAAGCACATAAATTTGGGAGGCTGTCAGGAGTTACATAGCTTACATGCTGTTTATAGCTGTCATTTGGTTTCCAAGTGCATTTCAAGTGAATTACATTCATTCATTAAAATCCTAAATAATCGGGGACCTCCCCCAGGTCCCATCCAATTCAAATAAGACCCCTCCATTTATGTTCTAGGACAAGATTTATCAAGAAGGAGCAGCAGTAGAACCTTTTCTGTGGAAGGTTCTCATTTATTAGCATTGACTTCATTGCTTTGCCAGCATCAGGGTTTGTTGGCCATTAGAGCACAGCGTCAAGGCCTGTCAGTTCAGCCAGGCTCATGACTCTTTGTCTGATGCGAAGATGAGCATGGTCAGGATGCAGTTATTCATTCCTGCAAGTAGCGATTCAGTTGCCATATTTATGGGGTGTTGATTTATTTCAGAATTGTTAACTTAAGGAGTCTGAGGCTCAGGGATGTTAAAGCCAATGGGTGCAGTGAAAGAATGTGGCTGTATAAATGGATTTATTGTACCGTGTAAAGCAAAGTTACTGTATGTGTAGGTGATGAAAGGACATTTAAGGGGAAAAGTATGGGATGCTGCAATTCCCATGAATCTGTTTCTCTTGCACCTTTCCGGCCCTCTGGGAAGCTCTGTTTAACCCACATATTCATGCTTTCACCATCTGATTGCAGATTGATGCATTCCAGCACATGCAGCATTTTGTGCAGACAATGCAGCAACAGGCACAACATGCTATTGCAACTGAGGACCAGCAGCACAAGCAGGAGCTGCACAAGCTTATGGCACGGTTAGTACCAGGTCCTCTGTGACCCTGGGTTTGGGTCATGGCACTGGCACATCTCTTCAGATTACAAAGGGCATGCAGAAAACAAGCTGAACAATAATTCTCCTTCATTTGGCTGGTGGAGGCCAGTTACATGATGTGACATGCAGACCTGTTGCATAATTGCAGCCACTCAGCCTTTTGCAAGTCCAGAAGGTCTGTTGGTAGGTTAGACACCATCAGACTCCATTTAAACAAGCTTGTGTTTGTCCTAGGCAGCTGGCTGTATTTTTCCTGTAGTGTAGCTGATTGGACAAAAAAGACAGCGTTCTCTGCATGACTCATTCTTTAGGGACTTTGGGAGTGGGGGGCAACCAGTCAGCAGGAAAGAAGCACTTTCCACATGACTGGCACATCCATGCTTCTGGCAGCTCAGGCACTTTGGTGCTGCCCTCAGCCACTGAGTGCCCAGCATGAAAGATTCTTTTCAAAAACAGCATTGCATTAAAAATGCATCCAGTAATGTCAACTTTCCTCCCCAGGGCTTGGCAGCTCTGACAAGTCTATTGTTTCTTGCTGAATGATTCAAAATGATGATTTATTGCTGAAGGGACTTTTTAAAGCACCAATATATTTCCTAAACCCTTATGACAATGGGAACTTTATAAACAGCCATTCTCTGTTAAATCTTGCATAATGATTAGCTTGAATGGCAAGTGCTTATGAGCTGAAGATGGGGTTCTTGATGTAGGATGCTAATTGGAAGTTGCAAAAGTTAAAAAGGACTGAGCTGTGTTAGGTGCATATTTATAGCCCGTGGAGAGACCTAAGCATCAAACTTCACAAACCTTCACAACCCATCTTACAGCATGGGAAGCATTTATTTTCTCCCCCCCAGGCGGTGGAGTTAATATCCTTGGCTAAACCAAGAATCATTATTCTCCATGCACCCTCAGTGGGTGGCTGTCATAGTGTATTCCTACGCCATGCTAGTTTTAATGGTGGTAGGTTATTTGCGGCACCTCACAGGGAGACTGTGCCACCTGCATGGTGATCTTTTTTGGAGGATTTCGGTGCAATTAAAAACATTAATTAGGCCTCATGATGCCTCTGTAAGGCAGTTATTAGCTTCATTCTGTAACTGGGCAACCTGCAGCACTTGGACATGCCTCAAGTCAAGCAAGCCAGGGAGACAAAACGTAGGAAGGAGCCATCGGCAGCCATTCTAACTACCATGCTGTACCCTCTGTCTGCATTTCAGCCTGGTTTATATAGCTAGATTCCAGATGAAGTCAGCCTTGTAAGCCAACTGGTTCATGTTTTAGTGTCTGTCATGTTTCAAGATTAACAGCCTAACTTGCTTTATCAGGTGTTTCCTGAAACTGGGAGAGTGGCAGCTTAACCTACAAGGCATCAATGAAAGCACCATCCCCAAAGTCTTGCAGTACTACAGTGCTGCCACTGAGCACGACCGCAACTGGTACAAGGTGAGCAAGGAGAAACCTTAATGCTAGACCACAGGCAATACAGGTAAGTACTGCACCCTGAAGCACAATGCAACACCAGATTGTTTGGCCTACGTAACCTTCTCCCCTGTTGAATATATGATAGACCCAAGTATAGCACTGAGACCAGTGTAAGTGTCTCTGCAGCTCAGGTCAAGCATGACGTTGTTCAGATGTTGATTGGCCAGTAGCACTGGGTCACAGTTCAACTCGTGGAGTCACATTTGGGATCTTCTGTCTTGCAGATTAATTGCAGATGTTTAATGACTGGGGGATGCTAATCCTTAGGGAGATGGATAAGTTTGCTTCAGTGCAGTGGTCCAAGCCAGGATTCCTGCTATTAGTTCTCAAAGGAGCTTTTACCTTCGGAACCTTCCAAAGCTAACACTGGAGAGCCTACCTGCCTGTGGGCAGCATGCTCCTGACCAGATGTCCTTCCACCTCTTCCCCCATCAACTTCTCCTTAAGCTTCACCTTCTCATTTCTGAATCACAACCCCTCACTTTAAACTTTGCAGAGCATGTTGGTAGGGTGCGAAAATGGGAAGCAGTTTTAATTGTACTGCAGAGATGTTTAAATTACTCAAAAGTGGAGGCTGCATAGGGGCTTCCTCATCCCTGGGTTTCCTATTGACGTTCTGATTCCCTCGTTGACAGGCCTGGCATGCCTGGGCAGTGATGAACTTTGAGGCTGTGCTTCACTACAAACATCAGAACCAGGCCAGAGACGAAAAGAAGAAACTGCGTCACGCCAGCGGAACCAGCATCACCAGTGCCAACACAGAAGGCAGCAACAGTGAGAGCGAAGCAGAGAGCACAGAGAATAGTCCCATCCCATCTCCTGTGCAAAAGAAAGTCACTGAGGTATGGCCTGCCCTTCCTTCCTGCTGGGGGCAAGGATGAGTGGCACTGAATAGCAGGTGCTCAGTTTTGAAAGACATAACATGGAACTGCCTTTCTGAGAGCTCTCCCATGTTAGGGCTCAGGCTTTTCACCCACAGATTTAAGTGAGGCTTGAAATAAGCAAAAAAGCTTTTACTAGCTCTTACTGCTCATGATTTTGCCAGTAGATTCAAGTATCATAAGAATCCTGGCTGTGTAGAAGACATGCAGGAAGAGCAGGGAATAGCCATGCGTCCTCTGAAGGGGAAGGTACGTGCGCATTCAGGTGTAGGCTCATGCATCCTAGACTAGATTAATACACCTTGTGGGGGAGGACTGGCAAGAGACTGGAGTGGTATGAATCATGTGTGTATATGTATATAAATATATGCTTCATTGCTTAGGATCATGAGGGAAGCCTGTAGACTGGTAACAACTTGCAGTCCGGTTCCTCCTGATGTGTTCTTGCCGAACTAAGACAGCCATTTATATTCCCCCAGGATTTATCCAAAACCCTCCTGATGTACACAGTCCCTGCTGTCCAGGGTTTCTTCCGATCCATTTCTTTGTCCCGAGGCAACAACCTACAAGACACGCTCAGGTACCCTGGGAAGTACATACAAATAGAATCAAGCTGACAGCAATACACATACTTGCTTTAAGTCTCACTGTAACATGCTTCTGCACTCATGTGGCTCAAAAAGTGACGACTGCATAATCAATCTGAGCTTGTTTGTGGTCAGTCATACTCCTATTCTGCTTTCTCCAGTTGGTAAACTGGATCTGAGTGCAAGACACTGAAATGCCCTGTTTTTTCTTTTTCTTTCAGAGTCCTTACCCTTTGGTTTGACTATGGCCACTGGCCTGATGTAAATGAAGCTCTGGTTGAAGGAGTCAAAGCAATCCAAATAGATACTTGGCTTCAGGTAAGGAGTGTAAGGGACTGTGCAACCTGTCGTTTCTTAGGGAGCACTTAGGATTTCAGAGTTACTGAGGTTCCAAACTGGCATCTTGCCAGAGACATTCCTTTATGTGACCGTGAGTGCAAAATTTGTAACTTAGCAAGCACCTTGGACAGAGCTGGAGCCTCATTCATTCTGGATGCAGATGTCAGCTGAGTACTGCTTGAAAAGGAGACTGAGTTTAAAGTGAAAGATGACATGCAGTAAAAATGACAGGGTATGAAACTCTGTTGTGTAACCCTAATGTAATATAATGGACCCTTAGTCCATTTCAAGGTGGCTCTGTAGACTGGACCTCATACAGAAGGCTTCTTCTGTCCATCTTCCTTTTATGTTTATCTTTCTTTTGAGATGTGGGAGAACCCTACAGCAATTGTGGATGAGGCACATCATCCACCACTGGGTTCAATGAGTAATATGCCTACATACATGATAGTCACACATCATATGATACTCATTGTCTCGCTCAGCTGTTCCTAACCTTTGATGTCCTTTGGGTCTTTTTGCTGTCCACCTCTATTCTCTGTGTAGCTGCTAGGATGTACACTGGGATCTCTGGTGACAGCCAAACAGATATGCATGCAGTGGGCTGAACAGCTTGCAAGCCACACCCGAGAGAAGACTGTAACTTTCATTTTCTCATCCTTGGTGTTAGGTTATCCCTCAGCTCATTGCAAGAATTGATACCCCACGGCCATTAGTGGGACGCCTTATTCACCAGCTCCTCACGGATATTGGGAGATACCACCCTCAGGTATGCTTTGGCCCAAAGGAAGACTTACAGTTAGAATTTTGACCATGAAAGGCTTTTATATATGGTCCGTGCTAGAATGAGTGATTACTGAGGGAAGGTGTAAGGGGCAGGTTCTGGAAAAGAACTCATTATAGTTCATACATAGCAGAAGAGTTTCATTGCTGTTCACTTTCCTGAGCAGTTAATTTGTTCCTCTGAAAGCTTTTTCTCCTCAGCCTCCATCACAAAAAAGATGCAAATTTAGAATGGTTGAGACGCAAGACATCTGAACCAAACAGAGCTTGATGGCGTCTCCTTCTATTAGGAACATGGTGAAAATTGCTTTCTAAAACCCAGTCCCATTAAATAACTGTTAATGGGCAGCAGCTGCTGCGTTTCCTGCCTTGGGCACAGAGAATCATATCCCAGTGTGCTAGAGAGGCTTGTCTTTCCCTCGGCTTGATACCAGTTTATCAACACAGTTTGATACCAGTTCATCAACAATGAATCATTTTGCTGCCCAATAAGTGAAAATCCAGGCCTTTTAGATTATAGGACTTCCTGTTGGAAAAAAAAAACTCTTTCAGTTCTCCATTTCAAGAAGTCAATTTGCTTTTGCTGTCCCAATATTGCCATTTCTTCATCCTATTGGACTGAAACAGGCTTGTTGCTTAGTTTTTTGTCTGTGTGGATCCACTTTATTTTTTTTATTTTTTTTTTTTTGCTTCTCTGATACATGCAGCACCTGTTATCTGTTGATGGTTATAAAGTATTACTGTTTTGGTGTTTGTCGTAGGCTTTGATCTACCCCTTGACTGTGGCTTCTAAGTCCACCACCACTGCTCGCCACAACGCTGCCAATAAAATCCTGAAAAACATGTGCGAGCACAGTAGCACACTGGTACAGCAGGCAATGATGGTGAGTGCTGTGTGGATAGGTCCAAAAAAAGGAATCTTTTCATGAACTGATGCACCAGCCTTATTCAATCTTTGGGTCTATTTTAAGTACAGATAATTTCTCCCACTAAACTGGAAGAGAATGCCCAGTGTTAATTTGATTTTTGCATACAGTTAATTTGCTGGGAAGTAATCTCCTCTTTGGAAGGGATTGTTTTAAAGTGAAATAATTTCAAGGAGACATGATAGGGCCATAAGCTTTAAATACTAAGTTCTTGTTTCTTGTCATGAATGAAAGTAGGGAAGAGAGGAAGTGGGGAATGGGTATCATTGACCATGAAGAAAAACATTTGTTTGATGAGACACGGGACTAGAACATGCCAAATCTGTTTCCTTTCTGGGGAAAGGACTGGCTTGTCTTAATTGCTAAATGTGTAATGAATAACTGAAGGCAAGAATACATTTTCAGGCAGACTTACACAATTGTATATGTTCTGGTAAGTGGTAAATCAAGCTATAATAATAGGTTAGGCTACTGAAAGCCAAATAATACGTTAGGCTACTGAAAGCCAAAGAAAAAATATCAAGTAGTCAGAATGGGGGGTGGGAAGTGTGACCCCCCTCTAGCTGCCAGCAGGCAAGTGCTTTAATATTTTCAAAGGAGAAAGTAATCTTGTGGGGGATTTTTTTTTTTTCAATTAATGTGCATTCAAGCAGCTTTTCTTCAGGAATTTAGTGTCTTCCTTGTCCTGATCCAGGTGAGCGAAGAGCTCATCCGTGTGGCCATCCTGTGGCATGAGATGTGGCATGAGGGGCTGGAAGAGGCATCCCGTCTGTACTTTGGAGAGAGGAATGTGAAAGGCATGTTTGAAGTGCTGGAGCCTCTTCATGCTATGATGGAACGTGGCCCTCAGACGTTAAAGGAAACATCCTTCAATCAGGTATTTGCAAGTAGCAGCAGAATGTGCTTCTCTTAGCTGTGCAAAACAAAACAAGGTGTTCCTAAAACATTGCCATTTTCCTTTACAGTATAGCAGGAAAGACGCTAGATATTTTTAGCAGATGAAGCAATGGTAGTTATGTATGTGTGCCTGAGAGCAAGAGAGATCCTTTATGATTCCAGGTCTTCAGTGTGGAAGTTTGACAGTGCAGCTGTTCTAGATTAGAATCTTTCTACAAAAGATTGCCACTTGCATCACACATGCCACAGGTTGGCCACCTCTACTTGAGAGCATGCTTCAATCAGGAAATGGGGTTAGTCTACCAGTTGAATGAAGGATAAGTCTCTTGAGATACTATGTACTAATTTCAAATGGTATATCTCTGCATTGTTAGTTTTTGCTGACTCTTATAGTATCTATCTGGGCCTTGTGTGAAAGATCTCATGGGATTTGTATAATAACCTTTTTGACCCTGTCAGTGGGGAAGCACTTCCTGCTTTGCAGCAGTTTCTTGTCCCTTAAGATTGCCCTGCTTTGCGGTCTGCCTCAGTACCTACAGCAGCAACTGGGCACCAGTGGGGCTAAATAAAGACGGCTCCTCCCAGGTCTGCGCACACTGCTTCTCTGACTTTGCAGTAATTGCTTTTCCCCTCAGCTGTGCCATTACAAGGTGATTCAGCTTTTTATGCCGCCTTGTAGGGGTGAAGTCGTTTTGTGCGAGTGCCCTGTCAGGTAGATATAATGCAGGTCTTGGCACCAGAGATTCTGGGTTCTAATATTGAACCTGCCACTGATGTGCCGTAAAAAACAAGCCTCAGTCAAAGTTTGTATAGCAGTTTGAAAATAAATAAATGGCCTGTAGCAGTGTTTAATTGTTCTCCCATCTTCCCAGGCATATGGCAGAGACTTAATGGAGGCTCAGGAATGGTGCAGAAAATACATGAAATCTGGAAATGTCAAGGACCTCACCCAGGCCTGGGACCTCTATTACCATGTATTCAGGCGCATCTCGAAGCAGCTGCCTCAGGTGGGGGGAGAGGTACAGTTCTGTTGTGGGTCATACAGTTTATGCTATCAGTACTTTTCTCTGTTCTGTGTTCTCTGTCTATCCAAAACACTCGAAGAGAGTATTCCTGAAACACCTCCCTGTGACATGCTTGGAAGCTGCAGAGGTCGTAGGCTTAATCTTTACACAGTGCTCTTTCCGGGTGACAGAAATACTGAAGGCTGGCAATCAGACCTTCCATAACCTATGCTTTTCTGACGTTTTAATTAAGTTGACATGTATATTAATTTTTTTCTTGTTTGCAGCTCACTTCCTTGGAACTACAATATGTGTCACCAAAGCTTCTAATGTGCCGGGACTTGGAATTAGCAGTACCAGGGACGTATGATCCCAACCAGCCAATTATCCGCATTCAGTCCATTGCACCATCCTTGCAAGTAATCACATCCAAGCAGAGGCCCAGGAAGTTAACGTTAATGGGTAAGAAACACAAATGGTTGCCAGTTCTACAGTCTGCTGTTCTAATCCTGAAATAGTTCAGGCTTTCATCTCAAGCTGCTTACTTGACAAGAGAAGCCTCTACAGCATTTCCTTGAAATGGAGTTTTCATTTTTGGTAAAAGCTTTTTCAGGACATGCTGGCTACTCAGAGTGCCTGACTCTCCCAGCTTTGGAAACATCTTCTTTTACTCTTTCCCTTGTTACTCAACAGGTAGGAAGCCTAGAACTGTAAGATAAAAGAAATACTTTATATAATGTGTTTCATCCCAAGGTGCCTCAGCTGTGCGTAGGCAGGCAGCACTGACACACAGCCACTTCTGGGGTGGAAGCTGTTAGTTGAGTGGCATGAAATCCTTCACTTGTGTTCTGATCAAAGAAGCTCTTAAATTTTGTCTCGGTAAACAATGAAGTGTGCTTTATATGATTCCTTTAACCCAGCAAGATGAAAGATGGTGCTGATTGTTGGGTATGTTTATGCTGACATCATTATGCACCCAAGCTAGTTCAAGTACTGCTAGCAATGCAGTCATAAGCAGCCCAGAGCTATACGTGGGTTGCAAAGCCCACCTGAGAGGTTGAATAAATCCTTGGGCAGTTTGCTCATCCAAGGGCCAGTGCTGCTAAAGGACTGTGCTTCCCTAACAAAGTTAGCTACTTTAAAGATAGCTCTGGTAAGTCTGAGAGAGCTGTGACCATTTTAGCATTAGACATACCCTTCCACAGAATTCAAAGCTGTGGTTCCAAGGCCGATATCTTAGTTACTAACCTAATTCTTTTGGCAATATGTAGCTTGAAAGAGCAAAAGGAATTTTAAAAAGAGTGAACTCAAAAAATAAAGAACAAACCAAACAGCTGGATTTAGAAGGGCTGAATATAGTGATTAGGAGCTTGAGACACTAGACTGGGGAGAGAGGGGAGTAAGAGTGGTAAACAAGCTATTACTGCAAGAAACTAGTATCATTTTGTTCTGTTTTGTCAATATCCTGACAATACAACAGTATCCTGTTGTATAATTATTCCTGGTATTACCACTGTTTCCGAAGTATGGAATCTCAGTAATCTCTTTTAAGTGATATAAACCATTTCCTCAAAATCAAGACTTGTTTTCATAGAATCATGGAAATGTAGGGCTGGAAACAATCTCTGGAGAGCATCTAGTCCAGTTTTGTTGCATTAATTCTTAACATGTGAATCCCACCTTCAGAAGGTGGCACAATAAGATTAGACTCCCTAGCATCCTGCATCTCACTATATCGTTCTAGTAGTTTTCATGCAGCTAAGACATCCTCTAATTGTACATCACAGCTATACTCCCGTAACTTGCCTTCCAGGAAGCAATGGGCATGAGTTCGTATTCCTTCTGAAGGGCCATGAGGATCTCCGCCAGGATGAAAGAGTGATGCAGCTCTTTGGACTGGTCAACACTTTGCTGGCCAATGACCCAACTTCCCTTCGTAAAAATCTCAGGTATCAGAGTGGATATATAGGTCCTTTTAATGCATTCGTGCCAATGTGCCACATAAAGATGATGTGGACTTCCTTAAAACCTCCACTCTTTTTTCACTAGTGTATAAAGAAATGGAAAATCCAGTAACAAGATGAAGGCTGCCACAAAGTGAAGCATTTATGTAACTAAAATTTAGAGGAAATGTACCGTGAAAGGAGCATGTTTTTGTTTTGTTCTGTTCTTTTAATTAAAAGCCTTTCTAATGGCATTTCAAGACGTTCAGGATATAATCCCAAGGCATTTCATGTGTTGGCTTCAGCATCATAAAGCAAGACACGTTAAAGATCTTGGTGGCTTAATGGAATTGAGTGACTGTGATGTGTTGATATTGTACCATGGTTTACAGTGGCATTCAGAGAGGTACAAATGATCCTGTGAAATGTTTACTTTTTTGGGTGAGGAAGTTTCTTTAACAGTGTATATGATGTATTGAGAAAGAGGTTCCAGCTCTGTATAGTAACAAAGCTGTCTTTTGGAGGCAGGGGGAGAGTTTGGTTGGGTCTGAGTTTGGGTTTGGGTTTCTTTTGGGGCTGGTTTGCTTTTTTGTTTTTAGAAGTGATGGATTGGAAACACATTTAGATCCCCTCCAGAGTCAGGCAGGAGGCTGTTTTAGACGAGTTGGTTTTGTATACATGTTGATGTTGCATATTACAAATTGGTACATTAATTGGTTCTTCCTTGCTCTGCATAGCATCCAGAGATATGCTGTTATTCCGCTGTCTACAAACTCTGGGCTGATTGGCTGGGTTCCCCACTGTGACACTTTGCACGCACTCATCCGAGACTACCGGGAGAAGAAGAAGATCCTTCTCAACATCGAACATCGCATCATGCTAAGGGTAAAGAACGAGGCTGGCAGACAATTGGGTCTTCTGTTAGGACTCTGTAGAGTCCCTTTGACTAGAATGAGCAATGGCACAGGTTCTTATTCCCATTTATTTTGACCCCTTTATGTGGTGGTAATAATGGTAAAAAGCATGAAATGAAAATGCTAAAATATTTAGGAAAGGCAATGAATTAGCAACAGGTCACAGAGTTATTAATTTCTCGTTTGCCATTTCAATAGTGCCCACAAACTATTGTCATCTAATGGCTAGAATGATTATAGTGGAGCTCAGTCTGACTCCCAGCCTGTGTCGACTCAACTAGCCTCCTCCATCAGCAGTAAGGCTGTAAATTGAATGAGCTACAAAAATCACAGGTTGACAGGGCAGTGCTGGTACAACTGGTTCCATCAATTAAGAGAGGGCATGACCCCCCAGAATACAATTGGAGACCTCTCTCCAAAACAGAAATCCCCCTCCGCTTTTTTAATTAGAAGTGGCTGTGGCTCAAATTGCTAGGGGTTGCAGTTCAGATGAGTTCTGCAATACTGACTGTTCTTGCCACGGTAGCTAGAAATGGACTGGTCTCTACTGCGAAGTAATTAATAATTTAACTCCTCCTGGAGTTTTTCTCAGAAAACTAGTTGAGACTGACATGCTCCTTGTATTGTGGTGCTTTGAGACCTGTTATGGGAAACCTAGTAGTGTAGCTTCTAACTGGCATATCTGTATTGTAGATGGCTCCAGATTATGACCACCTGACCTTGATGCAGAAAGTGGAGGTGTTTGAACACGCTGTCAATAACACAGCTGGGGATGATCTTGCCAAGCTGCTGTGGCTGAAAAGCCCAAGCTCTGAGGTACAGCCAACTTGAATCATTACTAATGGCTTTTGCAGGCAGCTGTGCATGTCTTTTTGGTTTATATGGACACGATAAAACGTACAGCAGTCACTGAGGGCTGGATTCACAAATGGGCTCTGGTGTTATGACAGCTTCACACCACCAGACTTTGAACCACCTGGTTCCTGGTCTGGAATCCCCAAGGTAAACACCTTCATACTCCCTAGGCCTTTTTGGCAGGCATACCACAAGCTAAGCCCCACACCCTCACCAAGTGCTACTCTGATCCCTTTCCTAATCTGCTGTTCTGTTTTCTGCTCCCTGCCCAATCTGTGAGCCACATTCAAGGTTACATATGCCACTTGTGGTACGTATATGCCACAGATTGGCCATCCCTACCCTATACAGTGCATTGGAGAGAGCCAGGCATTTCAGAGTGTGATGTACCACAGCCAACTGAGCTGGGAGCTGCGGGGAGCTAACTAGAAGGTCTGAAATCCTGCCCCTCCCACTGACTTCAGCATTTGCTCAATCTGTGCCAGATTGGGATTCACAGCCCACTACCGCTTTCTGGGTTTTGACACCTAAATTGCCCCTTTTAAAAAGGGACCGGGGGGTCACTTGCAACCAGGAGGAGGTGGGATAGAGGTAGGATTATACCTGCTTCCACCCAGAAGCTCCATGAATACAGCAGTCACCCAGGGTGCTTTTCAGATGAACCATATTTGCAGTGTTGGGGACAGGTTAGAACCCAGCTCCCCCTCCCTGATGAGTGTCCTGACCACAGAGAGAGATCTCATTTGCTCTCTCGTGAAGCTGAAATTCTTGGTAGCAAATGAAACTGCTCTAGCCAGGGAAGAAAAGAGTGTCTGCACAATAGAACAGCCTGTTGCTTGCTGGTGTTGGCACTCTCTGAGGTGGTGGGCAATGCAGTCTTGAACCCACAAAGGCCAAGGAGAGGGATACTGATACCTGTGGAGGTAATGTATTGAAGGGGGATACTGCCTCCATCTCTGAATTCATGTAGCCAGGGCTGTAATGTGTTGACTCAGTGTTCTCAGTATGCCTTCAGGCTCAAAGTATGCCTTTTGAATCAAGCTCTTCATGGTGTTTAGACAGAGGAACACCTTGGTTAGAGGTCTTATTCAAGTTTAGGTGCGAGGCAGGCCTGGAGCTGCTCAACCTTGCCCAAATGGCAGAAGTTCTGAGCACAAAAATTCATTCAGAGAAGCAGAATTTTAGGCCCCTCAGGAACTTCACTCTGGTGCCTCCAAGGTTAGCCAAAGTGGTTTGAAGATCACAATCTTGGGCTTAGGCACTTAAATTCCACCTAAGTCCTGGTTAGGTATCTAAGACACTTTGTGGATTTTGCCCTATATCCCCCTAGAGCCCATTCCTTCTGTGTGTAGTAACAAAGAAGTGGAGGATAAAGGACTAATTTTAAATGGCTGTTAGCTCCTACCTTATTTACCGTTGGCAAAAATCCTTTCCTTTTTCATGTCCTTATGTGACAAGGTATTCAGCAGAATTTAGATTCACTGGAATCTGACAGGGCCGCACCATGGGTGCTTCTGCTGTGGCCTTAAACTTGTGACCTCGGGGCTGTCAACCATATGCCTTAGTGTCCGCGCCACCCCAGCCACCCTAGCAAAAAGAAAAAAGTGTCATATAAACAGAATTAGCATAATTAGCTGGCTTGGTTGCACATGTCCTGCTGTGCCAAACTGGAATGCTGTTTCGGAAGCAGACACAGCTTAATCAAAGGTCGTTTTATCATTGTTATGTTTAGGTGTGGTTTGACAGAAGAACAAATTATACGCGCTCACTTGCTGTGATGTCAATGGTTGGGTACATCTTGGGGCTTGGGGACAGGTGAGTGAAAATACATTTGTTTCTTTTAAATAAATTCAACTAACAGTTTCTATTGGATCTGTTCTTGAGATAGATGGCCACTTTCATTTTGGCTGTTTCAAATGTGAAATGATAGCATCTTTCAGGGCTTATTCCTGTTTCCATTATCTTCATTGCTGCAGAATCAAGGCCCTAAGGGTTTGTACATCTCTTGAGCACATGAAATTAGTATCTTCTTTCAAGAAGAATCACAAAATTAGGTCAGGAACTGAGTTCTGTTTCCAGCCCTTTCATTCACTTGCTGAGTGCCCTTAAATAAATCACTTGACCTCTGTCTGTTTACCCTTCTGTAAAATGGAGGCAAAAGTAATTCTTCACATATTGCGAGATCCACACTTACATACAGGACCACATGTGCCTTTTGCTCCACAAAGCTTAGAGAAGCCAAGATCATCCCTGTGTCCCCTCTTACCATCTGAGGCAATAAGACAGAACCCAACAGGTATCTGACCTGCTACTCTCTTCAGAGACCTCAAGCCACTTTCAACTCATCTCATGAAGAAATCCACTTTCACACATGTTCTCTGAAGGGCAGTCCTTGAATCCTTATTTTCCTTCTTACTACCCTACTCCTAGTTCCATGGGCTGAGGGGCTTTACAATGAGCACCTTGCATCCTGGCAGAGTTCAGATCCTGTGTGTTCTGCAGTGGAACTATCGCCAGCAAGGATGTGGCCAGAGCCTCTTTTGCTCACAAGAGCCACATCCTAGCTAAGTATTTTGTGTGTAAATCCCCAAGAACCCACAAGTCCAGAGATGCCTGGTCCCCACTGCATCTGCTCTAATAGTCCACCCAGGTCATTTCAGAGCCAGAAGTGAAAGTCACAACCAGAGTGAGGCCACATAAATCAGAATTGATCAGTGCTTCTTTGAAAACTCTTTACACATGGGACTCCCCCACAGATGGATGCAGAGCCATTAGAACATGTGTTGGTTTGGACACAGGAAAATTTGTTGTCCAATTTCACCTGCCCTGACTCTGGCTCAGCTCAGACTGACAGCCCCAGAAGCACAAGAAGGTATTGCTTTCAGTCCTCATGAGACTGAACTGGTGGAAGGAACCTGAAAACATGTATGGAGGGAGTATTGCTCTCTCTCTTACTCTGGCAAGAATTTTAATCATAGATGCTTTGTGTATGGGTTGGGGAGTCCATCTGGAGCATCTCTGCATGCAAAAAACAATGGTCTCTGAAGTCATGGGACTCCATCATATTGAACCAAATAGAAAAAGTTCCTGAAATGGGCAAACCAAATGAGTCTGGACCCAGTCCAGGTCTTAATGCCATAGATCCTCAGTCTACAGGAGGCAGCCTCTCTTATAGCTCTGCTAATGTCCACATCACAGTGAAGTTTAGCTTGCCACCTCCCTGTACAGATGTCCTTTGTCTTTTCTGGCCCCAGAATATCAAGGTTTCTCGAAGAATTATTACATCCTTGCCCACCAGTTTGAGGTCCCAGATCTGTTCAGGTTGTCCAGACTTTTATTTGGGTTGTAGATTACTGACCTAAGAAGACCTTTTAACTTTCTAAAAATGTATATCTGGTACCAATGTTTTTAATACTGGTTGTCTGTCTGTAAGGTAAAAGCAAATAAATCTTTCCTCCTTTTTGTGATTAAAAAAAACTTTTTCTCATGAATTTAGAACATTTGATAAGCAAGTTATAAACTCATGAAACTTTTGGTGAAAATCATAACTTGAATACTCCAGCATTAAAAATAGTACTATAATTCTCACTCTTTCTTGGTTTAAGATTGCTTCTGATAATGGCCTGTCTCCCTTCCCTTTACTACAGGCAGTACAATTCATTAAATTTTCCTATGCTGTAAAAATGTAAAATCCTAATAAAACAAGTGGAAGGGCTATCTTAAATGAAAAAGAAATGTGCCATATCCCAGGAGCATATTGATGGCTCTGCTCTGATAGGACATTTATCTTCAAAAGTAAGAGGTTTTTTTGTATCTCCTGAGTGGTAATTACTAAATCTTATCACACCCAGGATGAAAGTGCTGCAGAAAAAACTATTTATCTTGAGATTGAAGACCTCAGCAGAAAACTATCGCTGGTTGTCTTCTGACTTGTGAAGATAAATATCATTTCAGGCCAAAGCTGTGATTTACTCTTTGATGTTTTCCTCAGATTTCCTAATGATCTGTCACTCTGACTTGCCATCTCTTCCTTCAATGTAGGCACCCTTCCAACCTGATGCTAGACAGGCTCAGTGGAAAGATTCTGCATATTGACTTTGGGGACTGTTTTGAGGTAAGCTGTCTATTCAGACATCTGTTACTTTTTTTAATGTGTATTTTATATATCGTGTTGTCTGGTACAGCAAAGGTAGAATTACAAATCAGGAGCTCCCAAGTTACTGTTTTACCTCTGACTGTAGTTTTGTGGAAATCACTTAGCTTTTCTGTACCTCACTTTATCTGTAGGTAGAATGGAAATAATACATGCCTATGTCGCAGGAGTGTTATGAGGATTAGCTAGTACGCAAAGCAGTTGTCTAAGTGCTAACTGTAAATGCAGCTTTTTGTTCAACTGTTAAGACAATTTAAGTCATTGACATACAGGGAGGCTTACTCTGTAATGGCAGGCCAGATCTGAACTCTCAGCCACGTCTATGCTACAAAGTTTTGTTGATGTAGCTGTGCCAGCTAGGGGTGTGAAAAGTTCACACCCCCTGGCTAACTTGCAGAACTACCATGGGACAGACATGCTAACAGAAAAGAGCTTTTGCTAGCTCAGATTTGTCATGCAGGGGAATATAACAGTGCTGACAGAAAAACCTTTTTGGTCTGTATACACTGCATCTTCACTAGGGGGACTTGGCTGGCACAGCTATAGCAGCACAAGTTCTATAGTGTGGCCCAGCCTTTATTTTGATTGCTTTTTATTTTTCATTTAGTCGCTTTTGGAGCTTCCATCATAAAATCCCAATAGTTGGAGAGTGCAGGGCTGAGGAGTGTTTTTTGTGTTTATGACCACCAGGTTCAAAGTATGAAAGGCAGGAAAGCCAACCCTTTCCTTTTAAACAGACTGACTTCTCAGGGAAGGTAAGAAGGAAGCATCTGCAAAATGAATATATTAAACAATTCTCTCCAATTGTGCTCTTAGGTTGCAATGACAAGAGAAAAGTTTCCTGAGAAGATCCCATTTAGGCTAACAAGGATGTTGACAAATGCAATGGAGGTGAGTGAGAATTAGCAGATGCCTCCCAATAGGATTGCTCTTGAGAAGATGGCACCAGCTCTGCCAGCTCTCCATAGGTGCTCTATTGTGACCATCTCCCTCATTCCAGAGGAAGCATAAGTGTTAATATTTCAGCTGCATGTTTCTGTAATTAAATTCCTCATGTGACCCTTGCAGCATGTTAAATTAAAAACAACTCTGCTTTGATTAAAAAGGAAATTAATTCCTGCAGCTCCCCAGGCCTCACCATGTTTACTTATTTCAAATATTGGTCATGAACTTAGCCAGTAATGCAAATCTTGACAGTAAGTGTCATCTCAGCATCCTTTCCATGTTAGTCCAGCCACCGTGCCAGTGGGGTCTCTTAAATTTGTAAGGAACCTGTATCTTGTTCTCTGTATGAATAGAACATGTGAGAGAATCCCAGTTCAAGACACGGGTATATCCTGCCTTGGGAGTGAATGGGGAATCAAAAGGTAAAAAGAACCCCACTGCTGATTCACTACTTTCTTTTCTGAAGGTGACTGGCTTAGATGGTAATTACAGAATCACGTGTCACACTGTGATGGAAGTCCTGCGAGAACATAAAGACAGTGTCATGGCTGTGCTAGAAGCCTTTGTGTATGACCCGTTACTGAATTGGAGGTTGATGGACAGTAAGTTTTTTGGCCAAAAATAATGAGACAGGAGAGAGAAGTAGATCAGATGATCTGACATGCCTTTAGAAAGCCAGGGGCCCCAAATCACATGCTTGTCCAAACATTGATCTGGGTGGTTTAAAACCA